TTACTGAATGGAATAACTTTACAATTTCATTAAGTGATATTATCTTAAAGGGTTAGTTCACCCAAAAATTACAATGATGTCATTAATGACTCACCAAGACGTGGGTGTTTCATGGGGATATTGCCCACAACCCATCACGTTTTGGACGTGGATTTGGTTAGAACTACAAACAGGAGTTAAAAGTGTTAAAAAACCTACAGATATGGAGGACAGGATCAGGTCCGGCAGTTGAGTGGAGAGGTTTAGATAAAGGGGTATGCGTTTATGTATTTATAAAATGTTTTTATTCAATGTTGGCTAGATTTTATTGTGAACTTTTGTAAAGATACGTTTAGCCATTAACATTTAAATGCATCTTTACATTCAAATTGCAAAGGCAAGTGTTGCTTCTTTTTACTGTTTTTTTTTCTTCTATGAATTACATAGATTGGCAGTATTTACACAGTAAAATTTACATTGTTTTCACATTATATAGTTAGACACTGTAACTTAAATTTAACAAATTAACACGTTTTACTGTTGCATTTTGTCTTTTCCTGTAAAAATCAATAATTAATCAGTAATTCATAAACATTGATCACAAGAAAAATTATTATACATGATTATATATGTAAACCACATTATCTTGAGCATTGTAATGCTACATGATATGGAAACCATAACACAGTGCTTGATAAGGTGACCTCTTCCTTCCTGCTGTTGAACCGAAACTGATACGGCCATATTCAGTTGCACTCAGTAGTATCACTTATCACACACAATCTCATTACACACACATGTAATCACTACTGTATATGTAGAAATGGATTTGGAATGGCTCCTATTGGACTCTGAGAGTATTTGCCACTGTCATCTGAGCAGAGCTTTTCTCTCTGCTGAGTTGATATTAGGAGCTTTGCTCTATCGATCCTTCTAACCATCATGCTCAGTAATTGTGATTCACTGCCTTTTAACAACTGCTGCTTATGTCTCTGCTGAATCAGTTTACTAAATCTACAAAGTGAAAGGGGTTATTGCTTCATAATTGGTGCTATTGGTTTACCTTGACTAACTGACTTTAGCGTATTTGGGTTGATGGATGGTTTACAATGAATGCCTATGATAACTTTAGTTAACTCTACATTAAGTAAATGCACTAGCTAATTACTCTTCAACAGCAATGACATAGAAGTGTGCAATATTCTATAGATGGCTGCACAATTGTTTCTCTGATGCATAAAGTCTATAGTATAGAAGTGCACAGCTGAAACAGTGCTCATTGTTACGTCCCTCCTATGTTATTATTTGTCTGGTGTTATTATTGTTGTTTCTTTCCTTTTTTTTTTCTTTCCCCTCTTTACTTTCACTCTTAGAATTCTTACCAAGTTCTAAAAGAACACTGCATTTCGCAAACATGCAATCACAAACAAATCAAGTGTAATATCCTGCTTCCCACACAGGTGCGCTCTTATAGGCACAGTGTTCCCTCATTGGTGAAGCCACGTTGCATCATCACCAAGCTTTTCGATGATCGGCAGGTGGATGAACCATCAGGTAGCTGCATCGTCCTGCTAAGAGTGAAAGTAAAGAGGGGAAAGAAACAACAACAACACAAATAATAACATAGGATGAAACACTCATAAACCAGGATCTTATTACTATGTACTTTTATCCTGTTATGTTATTTTTTTCACACATGTAGTTACACAAGTAGTTCGTATGTTTATTAAAATCACTTATTTTGAGGGACGCTTTGCACCTTTAATTATGTTTAGAAATAAACTGCTAGCCTACCTAATCCATGGCACGGCTTTTAAGACATTAATACATATAGAGTACGTAACTAACTACGGTGCGCTCTCTCTTGTTTCCTTCGTGTGCGCTGCATGTTTTGCACATGATCCACACGCACCTTAAAACTACGCACTCCACTGATAACCTGGCTTTATCGACCATCAATAGGTTTTATAGATTGTTATCGACAATTAATCAATAGTCGATTAATCATTAGTGTCCCTAATATACACATTCCAAACTCAGACCTCTCTGGTTGATTTCACAGAGTTTGTTTCAGCTGTCTCTTCAACGCTTTGCATAACTTTTGCCAATATGTTAGTGGTTCAAATAAAAGCAAAACTCCTACATAAAATTGTAAAATATTTGGACCTTTGCATGTTAGTATATTCAAAGGAAATAATGGCAAGCAAAAGAAAATAATCTGCTTAATTTATGTCTGTGGGGATTAATAAAAAAACACCCCTGTAAACTCCAGACATGTTATCAAAGGTCATCATTCAGCTTTCTGCACAAATGAAGGCTTGAGGGTTGGACCTCATTGCAATGCCAAGTAAAGTGAGGAAATTATTGCAGAAATATTACTCTATTGTGTTCTGTGTATGGATGATGTATGTATAACCTGAAGCTGTCTGTAAATTAAAATCAATCCTGAATAATCTCATGATGTTTTTGTAATAAACATGATTAATTTATCACAATTGGGTTTGCTGAAATTTGCCTCCAAACATATATTCATATAAAGTGTAGTGTGTGTTCTGTTTTATTGGAATCATATTCTATTTTAAGCTATAAAGATAATCGTATCCTAAATCCCAATCCTAAAGATAACCATATATATATATATAATATATATATATATATATATATATATATATATGTTATGATAGTTAAGTAATGTTGTTTAAACCAATAAAACTAGGTGGTTTCTTAAGTTTGATAATTAATATGCTATGTCATGTTTATGACAGGTTGTGTTGTCATAGTAATGTCACGTTGTCATGACAAAGACACTGACAGGTTATGATGTATTGGTTTATGTCAAGTTGTCATAACAAAAACATCTCAAACAATGTCATATTTGCATTAAAAATAATATCATAATTGAGCGAATGACACTTAATGACAGTTGTCACAAACATGCATACAACTTCCTTCATATTCATAACATATGTCATGTCATGATTATGAAGGTGCCATAGTCTTAGTCTTATGCACACCCCTTCAAGTAAAGTCTTACCGTTGATCTTTCAACACACACAACACTCAAATACACTCGCCAGTGACCTACCACCTCATCCTGCAACACCAGCCTTACACTGACAGCTGACAGCTTCTGTACATCAGACATAATACAAGCACATCTCAATTCTCATTTACACACACACACACACATACACGCACACCACCTCACTGTCTCTGAGAGCAGATGTTAATTTAATCTTTGCCTGCTCTCTCTCGTCTCATTATGTTCAGTCAGGTGTTCAGTGTTTTGGTTTGTTATTTGTAAAGGTCAGTGTCATTTTAGTTATGCTCTGATGTGAAAAAGATGAAAAAGGGACTATAAGTACCTCACATTTGATCTTTGGATGTCGTATCAGATCTTACAGCACAGCTGTGTGTTGTTGGGACATTAGGTTGGGCCATTTTCTCTCTCTCTCTCTCTCTCTCTCTTTCACACTTTCTTTTTCGCTGCGGTATTGTACTGTGAAAACATGCTGGCACTGCAGGTCTTATTCATAGATAAAGGTCATGAAGTAAAGTAAATGAAATAAGCACCACTCTCTTCCGCTCTCTTCCTGTTTTATTTGCTTTGCTATCATTCATTTCCTCCCATTTTATCAATCTTGTATTTTTTTTTTTTATTTAGTTCCTCTATATTACTTCCCTGTTGGCCCTTAAATTCAGTGTCCATGATGTCTTGTGATCACTGCCATGTGCATGATATTCGGAGCGTTCTTCTCTCATGACACAATTTTTATTATTTATGCCTCAATAGCTCTGTTTTGATTAACACACTGTTAACTGCTGCAGTGCCACGGGGAGGGAAAATGAGTTTGTAGCTTGTGTGTTAATGGAGAACTGGGAAACCGAGCTGTGCTGGCCACTAATGGCTTTAGTTGGTGGTAATGTGAACATGTGTAAGGCACTGCAAGCCCCTGGCTCTCTCTATGACAAAACACACCACTGCCTTTACAAGATCTGCTGCTCACAGCTTTGGAAAAAATACTGCAAGTTAAATGCTGGAATGGAGCCACATAAAAATGAAATAAGAGGGAGAGGTGACGGAAAAAGAGCTGATTATTAGCCTTACCCCCTCGGCTGGATCTCATCATACAGGCATTGAATGAGCTTTGAGTCTCTCTCTCTCTCTCTCTCTCTCTCTCTCTCTCTCTCTCTCTCTCTATATATATAATATAATATATATATTTGTGTGTGTGTGTGTGTGTGTGTGTGTGTGTGTGTGTGTGCAGGTCTGGGGGGGATGGTGGTCAGGTTTTACCTATGAGGACCAAATGTCCTTGTAAGAACACCTGAAAGTATATCTACATTGTGACCAGCCAACGGCCTATAAGGAAAATGGCCTAGTAAATTTAGGTGTAGGGGATAAAAATATCTTTACCTCATAGTAAAAAAATAAATAAAATAGAAGTAGTGTGTGGGAAAAACATTTCTATAATCAAAAAATAATTACTGTTGGCATATTCACTGTACATGTAATTCGTTTACAAAAGAGAAGTGAAAAACTGGAAAGAAAAGGGTTGAGAATGAGGCCATGAAAGACAAGATATAAAGTGACTCAGAGGATGAATGATGTGTTGACGTGATGTTGATATGTTTTTTTCGAGGTAGTGAAGGAAACTCATTGAGAGTATTAAAGTGAAGATGGAGAACAAGATTGAACATGAAACTAGAGAGAGAGAAAGCAAGAAAGAAAGAAAGCAAGAAAGCAAGAAAGAAAGAAAGAAAGAAAGAAAGAAAGAAAGAAAGAAAGAAAGAAAGAAAGAAAGAAAGAAAGAAAGAAAGAAAGAAAGAAAGAAAGAAAGAAAGAAAGAAAGAAAGAGGAGTGGAGGTCAGTGAATTCCTAGATGAAGAGGAGCCAGAGCAGGTAGTCAACATAAGCAAATTAAGTGTGACGATAATGTATTTCACAGGCAGAGGGATTTGGTCGTTTGATGGTCGAACAGATTTGTTGGTGCAACTGAGAAGAACAAAATGTGACACTTCTGGACAGCTGAAATAATCTGTTTGAATATTCTCTAAACCCATCACTCCATGCACTCCCTTTCTCCTCCAGCCAACATCTCACCCAGCTCGGATTAAGCAGCTTTAATTTTGTCCTCCTGCTATGATGATAGCACAATATTGCATTTCAGAGTCAGACATCTTGTTTTTCACACCCTGTTTAATGGAAAATGTCATGGTTTGAATTTGAATTAGGCTAACATTTTCTTGTACAAGTATCAAATAGGTGTTTTTATGTCTTCTTCTCTGGTCAGCATATTTCACAGCTCTGTGATTTAAATGTTTTCATCTTATAAGAAATCAGTAGGTTTTGTTTCATTGAGTTACATTGGTTCTTTTTAACAGTATTAAGAATTTGTGTGATTTCAAATTTTGTGCAAAATTAATCCCTCTGTCTTTCCCTTTGTCCTCAGACATTTCATACTCCGAGTCTTGGTGACGAAGAGTTTGAAATACCCCCCATCACCCCTCCTCCTGAGACCGAGCCTGGTATGGGCCTCCAGGAGGTGGACTCACCTTTCCCCAGGCTACTTGACCACCCCAACTCTCAGCGGGGGTCATTCACCCCACAGTTCCCACCCCAGAGCTTGGAGCTGCCCTCGATCACCATCTCCAGAAACATGATGGAGCAGGAAGGACGACTCAACAATGGACATCCAGGGGTAAGTGTCTGGTTATTTGTTTGGGCATCTTAAAAATCGTATTGTTTACAGATGTTGAAGGCAACTTTATACAAAGGCAACAAATTCCACAAAATAAATTCCCACATCGTCATTCACTGGCAGTTACATTAAGATTTTAGCTTCACCTGTATTTAGGTGCAAATTTAAATCCAGGTAGTTTTTCTCCTCTAAATGCAAATAAGTTTGCCAAAGGTGCCTGATGTTACGTGTCAGTGTTATAAAACTAGTTTGTAGACAAAGCCTTAAAGGGATAGTTCACCTATAAATAAAAATTCTGTCATCATTTCATGTCATTTTCTATGGAATGCGAACGGTAATATCCTGGCCACTCTTTCCATTTTAATGAAAGTGAATGAGGTCTGGTTCTCTCAAGCTCCAAAATGGAGGAAAAATACATACACCATGAACATATCATAAAAGTGCTCTCTCTATGACTCATGCGCTTTAAATTCCAAAGCTCTTCCTAAGCAGCTTTGAAGGAACAGACTGAATTTAAGTCATTATTCACTGACATCTCCTCTTGTTCTCCTTGGTGAGTTTATCATTGGTTCTCAGGTTCATCTCACTGACTATGATCTGAATGGTTAACAGCTCACTGGATTATAAAATTATCAATAATTAACTTCAGTTTTGGTTTGTTCATCACACAAAGCTATTGTATGGCTTCAGAAGACTTTGAATATTTTTACCTTAAAAATTGAAAGCTCCTATACACCATTATTATAACTTTGTGGAAAAGAGCGACCAGTATTTTTTATTTTATTTTTTGCTCCATTAAAGAAATAATGTCATACATGCTTAGAACGATATGAGAAGTAGAAAATTATGACAGAACGCTTATTTTTGAAAGGACAGCAGACTTTCTAACAGACATGCAATAAAATTGGTCTGCTTTTGCTGAATATATTTATTCTTTAACCATGCCGCTGTGATGACTAACATGTAAGGTAAAATAAAGGTGTGGGCAAGCATTTGCTTCATAATAATCATGTTTTATGATCAAGCTTTTATAGCTGTCGATTCAGATAGAGAAACGGATCCTAAATGCCATAGACATGGATTCACCAATAAGGGAAACATTGAAAATGTCATGGCTAGACTAGATATATTAAAAGCGCTAAAATAGAAATTAAATCACTATCAGAGAAATTTGTAAAAGGACACAAATTGACATTAGCCAGCATATAATGTGTGGCAGGTTTTTTGAAATGTTGAAAAAATGTTTTTGTTTTTGAAATCCTGTAGGTCCTCACTCTCCCTAAACATACAGTGGTATTATGTATATGTGGGACAATATATCTTTATTTACATTCCAATATAGATAGGCACCATCAAATTTTATTGCTCCTTTCCTGGCCATCCATGCTGCTGGCAAGTAAAATAATTGCAGCTTTTAAAATATCTGTGCTGCATAAGTGACTGCCGGAAGGCTTTTTGCCTAAAGAATTTTCATTTCATGGTCAGTTAAGCTCGTATGTGTCTGGAAGGGTAAAAAAAAAAACAGAGCCTTGACACAATTACAACACGGCCCGTTCTCACTGCGCTATGAAGGGATTAGATTTGATTCTCCAACATTATTCCTCTTTAGCAGCTCTTTCTGTGGACAGTGGTTCTGATTGTGTCGGGACTATATTAGCGGGTTTGGGGAGAATGAAGGCACTCTGCTCTGTGCCTGGTGGCATTGTGACCGTCCCTCCGATTCTTCTCTATCGCTCATCACTCATTGTCCTCCTCAAAGACTCTCAGTCTCTCTCCTCTTAATGGAATTGATCTCAGTTTTTCCTCCTCTCTGGGACTGGTACAGACAGTGCCGTGCCTTTGACTCCATGCCTCACATTTATAAAGGACTCGGTAAGGGCTAGCGGAAGTTAGCACTGTAGCCTCCAACGTTGTCCTTTAGTTATTCTGATGCGTTTCAGAATTATATTTATTTTTACATCTAATGCAGGAAGACTGACCAATAAGTACAACCAACTCGAGGTCCAATTTATGTCGTATTTAAAACAGACGGACAGCAAAGGAATAAAAAAGGCATGTACTGTATGTCAGGAGAATTTACTCATTACCTCGAAAATCCATTCCAGCTCGACTGAAGAGCAACTTCTATGCCCTTTGTGTTTCTACATTGAAGCCAACTCTTCCTCTAATTCTTTCCCTCTAATGCTCCACGTACTGTATGTCAGGCGAAATTAGCCGCAGATGCTGCTGGCCGAACCAAACTCGGCTCCATTTCTCAGCCGCGAAGAAGTCCGTCAGGATTCAGAATGTGAAGTCATTTATTTAATCTGTTTTCCTAACAAGCTCCTGCATCGTGTTTGAGTCTCGCTTGAATCTGTGTTCTGACTGGATCTCAGAGTAGACTCAAATTATTTGAGACTAAGTTCAGAGATGTTCTTGGAGGTTGTGCAGACATCTTGTGTTCTCGGAAGTAATCTTTTTTCAAACACTAGCAGAAACAGTTAATTCCATTTCCTGACATTCTTTTGTTATGCATTATACATTGCAATACAAATGCATTGTTCTGTGCTTTAGTGTTTTGTATAGACTGTAAATGTATGTATCGATATAAAAAATAGTTAACAGTGAATCAAAAAATATAATTATGGTCTATTTGGCTGATTGGCTGTGCATTTTTTAGGCAGGAGCAGGTGTAAGATTCAGAGCACTCAACAATGGTAGAGCTTTAAACCATGATCACAAACCGACGAGGATCTGACTGCTGTGTCTATGAATAAAATGGAAAATATGACCAGCGTTGCAGAAACTATATTTTTCTTCTCTTCCAACACCAAATACACACAGACACACACGCTCACACTTTCCTCTCTCCCCCACTCTTTCTCTTTACACTTTTCTGTTATCTTATCTCCAAGCTGAGTAGTTGTGACATCAGTTGTACATCAATCTCTGAAAGTGGATTTTTTTTTTCTTCCCCTTCACCTTCATGTTTTTCTTTTTCTGATTTCTTTCTTTCTTTTTTTTCTGTCAGACAGCCATTGTGACATATTGGGCCAGTAAGAAATGAAAGATATTCATGCAGGCATGCAATACTTGTAATGAAGTCTTAGCCTGACCTTCTGTGTGATTGATTCTGTAATTTAGTTTTCTCAGCCAATACTTGAAATGAAATGAAATCATGTTGAACAAGTTTTAAATATCCATAGTGCAATGGGAGAGATGGAGGGAGGGAAGAGGAAAGGAAAAGCGATAAGAGAGAAGAAAAGAGAACAGAGGAAGGGTTTTTAGGAAGGCATTGGAACAACGTTGGGACCATTTTTTTTAGAAGGGCCAATTCGTACAGGGTGAATTGAGCATGAACGGTTGTTGAGCTGTATGAAACGAGAGAATGCGTGTGTGTTTTGTAGATGCAGTGAGAGAAGAGAGTAAGTAGGTGGAGGGGAAATATGAGTAGAAAACAATTTATCTTCACGCTACCATGGTCTCTGCAAGCATTCAAAATTCCATTTTCTTATTTTGTATTTTTTTTTTCTCTCGAGGTGCCAGTTATGCAGGTGCCCATAAATGGTTGAAAAATAAAGCAGCATGTTGGTAAAGGTTCCAGTGCAGCTGTGAATATGTGCTGGGGGCTGATAAACTATTCATAATAGAACTGACCTTTTCACACTGGCCAAACTTGTAAGATTCATCCTTATAATTACCATATAGATGATTTAACTCTCTTTCTGTTATGGAACATTTCCAAGAGCTCCGCAGAAAGATTGAATGAAAATGGAACTTGTTAACATTCTTTACAGCATGGAATGGCTCGAACCAAGCTGCTTTTAATAAACTCTCCAATTCCTTTCCCACCCCCCACTGAATCCCAAGGCCAGTATCTTAAAGAGCAGACCTTATACTCTCAGCCATTGACACGGCATCTTCAGATTCTTATCCCGATCGTCTGAAAGCAGTATTGGTTATTTTATGGTTATGAACACATGCTGGAAAAAAAAAGAGGTCTGGGGTGTTTTTATTTTCTCCCTCCGTTATATTTTCTTGACTGTTTAGTTGCGGTTTCTGCCTTTTGATGAAAGGGGTGAGGACACGATTTGAGGCAGAACCAAACAGTCATCCATCAAACGTCTTCAGTGTGTTGGACAAGAGGCTCGTTGTATGGTGTAGCTCTTTGGTCTCTTTTTGGCACCTTTTAATGTCGGAATCGTTTGTGCCTGCTGTGAAGCATGTTGGGGAATAAAGATACGAGGAGGAAAAGGTTATTTTTTGCCGGAATACAGTCAGCCGAGATGGGCTGATTGCTGGAATAATAGCAACATTTGCACAAGCACACGCAAACACACTGAGGAGAGGATAGGGCACATCTGGCCTCTTTGCTCTTCAGATAAGAAGTTATTTACAGATTTATGAAGACTATCAAAAGCATCTGTGTAGATGTGAGCTGTGTGTCAGCAGACAATGTTCCAATCAAAATGCAAATGGAGGGTATGCAGCGGGGACATAAATAAACAGATCGGATACTGACTCGCTCATTTTACCAGCTAAACCACCCTGACAGCAGAAATCAAATTTCTTTCATTGCCTACAAAGGCTGCTATTAGCGAAAGCTGACTGCTGTTTGTGCGGGTTTAGTTTGAATGGTCCATCCACCGTTCTTTCTTTTCCATGTATCGATTATATGCATAAATATCTATTTTACACAGTTTTTTTACAGTTTCATCAGATAATGTTGTCAAATCATTAGATGCTTCAAGATGAATCACAGCCTTTTTTCATAACTCACAGTGGGAATTGGTTCTACATCTGTTCTGCTTTGTGCTACCGGATCAAAGTGCTCCTGGAACTAAAGACCACTTCTGATCGTTTCTGAGACCTCATTCACCAACATAGAGTAAAATCAAATGAGTAAGTGGGCATATGGTTGTCTGACGAATGTTGCATGTTCAAATCATTGATCATGTCGATGTATTCATTCACATGGGGGAGAAAGCCAGAACACAGAGACTTTGATAAATGTGAGCCCTCAAATGCTGCCGTATATACTGACGCATAGAGAAGGCTGTAGTGATTTCAGGGCATCGGTGGCTGTTAGTGTGAAAGTGTTAGACACAGATGGTCATGACTAATGAACACAGTAGACAGGTTTGACACAAAGACGGCTGCTGGCTCTGTCATTGCATTGTAGTGATGAAACTAATACAAATATTGTTTTGGCGAGGGTGTAATTGCTATTTATTCAATGATTATTTAGTATTTGTTTTCCCCCTCTTTTACTTGATACTTCTTTTGCAGTATGTTTCTTTCAAAAACAACAATACAACAGTGCATATTTTCCAGGATATGATGTTGAAAACAGCTAGATTGTGTTTTTGATAAGGCACAGATTTGATATAAAGCTGTGTGTGCCCAGGGAATTAATACAAAGAGAATGTAATCTGTGTGTGAGGGAAGGTGTTAGAAAATTGTACTAAGGGAGAGGGTTCAGCAGGTCTGGCCAATAAGGCCAGGTGCACTGCTTTATGATGTGTTGACACATACAGATATTGAGTTTGAGTCTCTGAATACCAGATGGAGAGAAAGGAAAGGAGTTGATGTTGAATGGAAAAAAAAAATGAACAAAGGAGATCAAATGAACTCATGGTTTTCTCAAGCTGTTTGAGTTGATTTTGCTCTGTAATCTGGTTGCTTTTGGAGAAATGCTATAATTGTACCCTATTTTCGGTCAAACGCATCAGGCTCCTGCATACCCTACCCTGTTTTGGTCAATAACTGACAAATGGCCAATTTGTCCGAATAACTTAAAAATAAAACACACGCTTTAATTATTCACAATCTGCAATATTTCACAATATTGTGATTTTCTGTAAGTATAATGCAACATTCATTTTTATCAGTGTTGAAAATAGTGCTGCTTTTTTGTGCAAATTGTGCATTTCAAAACAATGCGTCCTTGCTGAATAAAATATAAAGTTCTTTAAAATATCAAATATCTAAAAATGTTTTTGTTGTCTGTTTGCTCTGCAGGCTATTGGTCAAAACCACCTCCGTCAGTACCCTCCAAACCCCACCATGGTGATGCGCTCCATCATTAGCATGCACAACCCCAATGGCATGATGTCACAAAACCAGCTCACCACCATCAACCAGTCCCAGATCAACTCTCAACTGGGGCTTAATATGACCGGATCAAACATTGCTCACACGTCCCCGTCCCCACCCGCCAGCAAATCGGCCACACCCTCTCCATCCAGCTCAATTAACGAAGATGATCCAGAGGAAGGAAACAGGGTGAGTGCCATTAAATCCATGCAACGTTTTATGCATAACGTTTCGATCAACATCCAAATAGCGAGATTTTATAATAAGTTGCCCTCTCTCTATCAGGTGATTGGTGAGAAGCGTCCCGCCCCTGACACGGGTAAGAAGCCGAAGACGCCCAAGAAAAAGAAAAAGAAGGATCCTAATGAGCCCCAGAAGCCAGTGTCTGCATACGCCCTGTTCTTCAGAGACACCCAGGCAGCCATTAAAGGCCAGAACCCTAATGCCACGTTTGGAGAGGTGTCCAAGATAGTAGCTTCTATGTGGGATGGACTGGGCGAGGAGCAGAAACAGGTATCAAACTGTTGTCCTGCGTAATAACCTCGTGATGTGTTGTAAATCGAGCTGTCTGTCTTTTGTCTTGAGTTCGAATAACAAATGTTCTTAATTTCTACTCGCATGTTTTGCACAGAATGATTCATGTCAGGTGTTTCAACAGATTGCTAGATATTTCACCCTTCTTTAGTTTTTTATTACCGACTAAGATGAAGCCTGCAGGCTCTCCCTGTTGTGAAACGCATGCTTGCCAGTCAATGTTCCGCTAATTATCTGTTTACAACACCTCATGTATTCTGTTCTTCACAGGTTTACAAAAGTAAAACAGAAGCAGCAAAGAAGGAGTACCTGAAAGCTCTTGCAGCGTACCGCGCTAGCCTTGTGTCAAAGGTGAAGATGTTTTCTGTTTAAACAGCTCTCCGTCTGTGTGTTTTTCTTTTTCTTTCAGTCTACCTCTCACTATTTGCGTCATTTCTCCATTCATCCTGTTTTCTATTAAATTTCTGTTTACCAGTAGGTTAATAATAGTTCAGCTCACTTTCAGGCTCAATGACTTTCATCTTGAGTGAAACAATCTTTAATCTTTTAAACCACTTTTAATAGATAAGACCTTCTGCACAGTAAACTTGTCAGAGAAAGCACCAAATGTGGAACTGCTGAAAGGTGGTTGAAAAGAGCAGTGTTTATCCCTTTGTGCATTAGTTAACATTTATTGATTTGCACGAATTTAAAAAAAAAAAGGATTTAAATATATGATTGCATACTTAAATGTGTCAGTGAATGTGTTTGTTCCATCACACTAGAGGTGTAAAAATAGCATTAAATACAGCAAATGAATTAGAATGAGCTATTCTTATTATCCATCATGCCTCATTAACTCGCTGGCGGGCGGGAACATTTGCATATTAGTTGCTTGTAAAAAATGAAAATAATTTTACATGCAGTTTAACACTACTGTTGTACATGTATGTTAAAGTCTAAGCAACTCAAGAACTGGATATTGATGACACCACCGTCACATTGCTCTCGATTCAGCAGTTGATTATCTACTAAGCCTTTTTTTTTTTTCTTCAGAAAGTCTGAACTGCAATGTTTCTTATTTTCAGTGTGCAAGACTTTAAGTCTTATTTCAGATCTTTTCCTTGGCTACTAAATAATACAAATCCCTTTCTTGGCAAGTTCTTTAGATCACTGAATGTAAGACAGCAGCAATTTTCTCTGAACAGCCTTTTCTGTCGAGTCAGTCACCAGATCAGCACTAATAAAGGAGAGGGCACTACAAAAGTAAGAATCTGTCGAGTACCAGAATTCATCTGACCGATCTCTATTTCTGTCTCAGGCTGCCGCGGAGTCAGCGGAGGCCCAGACGATTCGCTCGGTGCAGCAGACTCTCGCCTCCACCAGCCTGTCGCCAGGGCTCGTGATGCCTTCACCTCTATCCCAGCACCCCTCAATGTCCGCTGCGGCACAGGCGCTCCAGCAGGCCCTGCCTCGAGCCATCGCCCCAAAACCTCTGCAAATGCGCGTCGGCGGCAGCCAGATTGTCACCTCGGTCACGGTAGCTCACCAGAACATGACGCCCGGCGGCATTCAGTCACAGCTGCTGGGGCAGATGGGAGCGGGTGGTCCGCAGTCGGGCGTGTCGTCACAATTGAGTCCGCCGATGCAATCCCGGCACACTTCCATGCAGCAGCAGATGCAGCAGCAGCAGATGCAGCAGCACTTGCAGCACCATCAATTGCAGCAGCAGCAAATGCACCACCAGCAGATTCAGCAGCAAATGCAGCAGCAGCATTTCCAGCATCACCTGCAGCAGCAACTTCAGCAGCACCACATGCAACATCAGCATCAACAGATGCAGCAGCAACAGCAGCAGCAGCAAATGCAAATGCAGCACATGCAGCAGATGCAGCATATGCATCAGCATCAAATGCAGCAGCAGCAGCAGCATCTCCCGCAGTCGCAGTGTTCGCCCGTGCAGCACTCGCCCGGCACGCCGCACTCGGCCTCTCTCGGAAGCCCGCCGCCCCCTCCCGCGCCCCAGCCTCACCCCTCGCAAGTACAGGCTCACGCGCAGGTCCTGTCGCAAGTGAGCATCTACTGAACCAAAAGCCCTCGGACCTGCAGTTGCAACTCCGCGAGAAAGGCAGAAGGAAGTTGATATTGAAAAGCATCATTAAAAGGTTGCTTTTTTTAAGTTGCACTTAAGAAGTGTGTAAAAAAAAATATGAATGTTATACAAAGAACTGTCCTTTGTTCTAGATGGATATAAGATACGTTTTAAAGGGACAAAGCTTCTTAGCTGGATTTTTTGTCTATAAGATAGGCTGAGCTACCGGGAGGTCTGTTCATAGACTTGAGTGCCCAGTAGTAATTTGTATGTATATTTAGTTCATTTGTTTTTTTCTCTCTCTCTCTCTGTTGTGGAGTTTAAACTCTGTCGGAGCATGATAACATGGGGAAGAACATTTAGAGAGTTTAGTTAACAGCTTTATTTATGAGGTTGGATTTGCTCTCACCACCAGACAAAATGAAAGAGTGAATGGGGAATTCAGAAAGAAGGAATAGACATGATCTGAACAATGCAAAGGTACTAAACTGGTTATCAGTGACATTGGATACCGGCCAGTGTATCATCACGTCTACCTTCTCGTCTTCCCTTTTCCTTGGCATTCCTACGGATGAAACTGTTTAACAGTCACTGTCGGGAAGCTCTCAATCAGCTCAACCACGTGGTGTTTGACGCATCTCATACTGTTATCAAACGGGAAAATATGTAAAACGTAGAGTTTTGCTGGACTATTTGACACGCTTCCATTAGATCACACTTTTTTTGACCTGCTGTTCTGAGGAGTGGAGAGTTCTTGGAGTTGCTCTTCTCCTCTAGCCAAATCCCTCAAAACTCTAATTCACTTCAACAGTAGTAACAGCACTCCAAAAATCATTCTTCTCTGTAATTATCTTTACCTCAGAAAATTTATTGAATAAGTTATGTTTTCTTTCTTTCTTTTGTGTAATGGATACACATGGCTAACTGACTGAATTCAGGCTGTTGGTTTACTGAGTGGGGTGTTAGTATTTCATAATACCCTACATTTCACAACAAGGACGGTTAAATAGAAATCTTATCAGATGTTTTTTTTACTATCATAGAAAGGTCATGGAAGTATTTTGTGCCAGCTGTAAAAGAATCAGTGGTAAGATAAAAGAAAATGAAGTTGTACATTTTTCATACCTCTTGTTGTAAAGTTTTAATATGTGAGGCTTTAAATGCAGATGTTGGCAAGCTGACCTGTCACCTGCTCTCATAGTACTCTTTTCTACTTTTTTTATGAGTTACAGTAGCAGCAAATCATTTGTTTGAATTTTTTGCTTACATTTCAAAATTAATCGTTTTTAAAAACCTGGCAGTAAAATAAATACAGTTCGTCATTTGGAAACTCCACCTGCTTTTAAACGTCATCAATGTCATTTGTTAAGTTATATTTTAGCCACCAAAAACACATTAAAAGAGGCATTCCATCATCATCAATATTATACTAGCCATAATTTTGTATTATATTGTCTCTCTGTGTCTCTCTGTTTGCAATTAAAATAATCGAAAATATTTATTTCAAGGAACTGATTCATTTCAAAGATTATATTAGCCATACTTTTGTATAAAATATTTCCTCAATGTGTCCTTGTTAGTTCTGAAAGATTTAAAATAAAGACATCAGTACTTAAAATATTCTGTTTATTTCGGATACACAGGTGTATATTTTTCTTGTGCCAACTCAACTCAAACAGATGTTTCTTTCTACAAATGTTTGAGTTTTTGTTATGCCTGTGAAAGCAGAGTCATTAAGATGGGCATTCAATCACAGCAACCTCCTTTTCCACGGCGTTTCACAGTTTAATGACCCCTGAGCCCCCAGACAGAAATATTTGTAGGGGGAAGGTAGGATTTAAAAAAAAAAGGCTAATTATCATAAATGCACAATAAGCACGTGAGGACACTGCTGACCGGTGCTGGTATTTTGCACGCTATGCCAGACAGAACGGAAGGAATCTGTGCCTGCACATATCTTGTTCCACATTAATAGAATTCTCAATCTGTATTTTGTACCCAATTAGTTAATTTTGAGAATGCTTGTGCTATTTGCATGAGAGAGGCTGCCGTGATTGGCTCTCGAGTCGGGTTTTGTGTCACAGAGAAGCCCACACTCTCACTCTTTGATTAATTGCAGCATCTGTTCTGTCAGAGGGTGTAGTGGAGAGGTCTGCAGGAAAACTGCAAATAAGTGCTGGCAACAGTTTTAAAGCGCCTATGATGAAATGAAAATTAAAAACAGCGAGTACCCCACATGCCCTGAATTTCAATAGCAAGGAGTGGGGAGAGAGAAGGGGGGGGGAGAGAGTGAAGATTGCTAAGCATAGAATGTAAGAGTGGTGTCCATGGCGACCAAACACATCCTTTAAAAACAGCCGGTAATGAGGGGCCGGGAAATAGCGCTTATTATTCCGAACAGTCTCATGGAGGGCAGCATCAATAATGCATGCAGTACCTTGTTATTAGGTAAACCTTGTTATCCGCATGGTCTCAGTGAGGATAAATATATTGCAACAAGGGTTGGAACTCTGACACACCCCAGTGATGAATGAATAAATAAAGGTTTGCAGATATTTTCAAAACTTGTATTATATGTCCTAATAAGAGCGGATGATGTTGGCACACCAGTGATTATGAATCCAATTGTGTGCCGTTTCAGGGACAGAATGAAAACGGATCATATCTACTAAACCTCATTTAAATTCAATCACTGCTTCGTAATCTTGTGAAAATGTTGTCAATGATTTAAAATGTAAAATCATGCTTGAAGGAACTATTCCTTCTAGCTTGAAGGAATAGTTCAGCTTAAAATTATAATTCTGTCATCAACCTATATTACTTTCTTTCTTTTAAGGAACACAAAACAGATTATGGAGCATTTTTCAACAGTTGTGTCCACAAACGAACACAGACGTGCAGCTTTAAAACAACTTAAGGGTGAGTAAATGACAGAAATTCGATTTGTGGGTGAACTATCCCTTTTAGTAAAATGTTAAAACATTCATCAAAGCAAACATAAATTCCACCTAGACTGGAATTACCCTAAAGTAGAGCTTATGATTTCTAACTATAGAATCTAGTTCAAACCACAGTCACATGATTGCACAGTAGTGTTATTGCATATAACCTAATATTCCACTGTAATTCATCACGTGTGTGTTTTTTCTGAAATCCTTGTGGAGACGTTTTCTGTCCCCATGAGGAAAACGGCTTATAAATCATACTAGGTGATGCTTTCTGAGAATGTAAAAATGCAGAATGTTTTTTTTTTTGTTTGTGTGTGTGATGGGTATGGTTAGAGGATAGAACATACAGTTTGTACAATATAAAAATAATTATGTCTTTGGAAAGTCCCCATAAAACATGAAAACCCAACGTGTGTGTGTGCGCGCACGCATATGTCTGCATTTTAATTTAGCCTATGTTCAAGAAGACATGGTGGAAAAGGTCATATGCATTGTGAACGTCCCATTTTTGTAATATCAATCAATGATTGATTAGCTATCTTTCATTACCCTGCTGTCTATGCAGATACAATGTGAGCTGTGACAAAAGGTCAGTGGCCTGAGGCTGAGACCGTGACCTCAGTGCCAGTTTCCATCAGAGCAGGAAGAGAAATGGCCATCATTTATATCATTATATTGCATTTAAGATGGATTATACTTTCTACCAAATTCAAAGCTGAACGGCTGCTGTTGTGAAGAGACGTATTTTAGTTAGCAATCAAGTATTGGCTACCTCACTACATTATGCAAATTGGAATGAAACGTTTGTGATCAGTGATTTAAAGGATAATTCCGGTATTTAACACCTTGAGTCTATTTTGTAGTTTGTTTTGAATGAAATAGAGTGGTGGACTTAGAAATTTTGACAATGGGTCCTGTCTTGACTTTTTAACTATTTTAGAATTGCCTGTGACAGCTTTAGACTGGGTGTCTATGGGCATGCCAACACTATCTCACGACCAATTCGTACGAATTCGACGCATGATTAAAAAGTGGCTAATTCGTACGACCTCACTCGTACTAATACGTACGATTTGTCTAAACCCACGTGATGGTTAGGTTTAGGGGCGGGGTAAGCGGTAGGTCATTCGTACGAATTCATACGAATTGGCCAACTCGTAAAATATGTACGATTTAGCAAAATCGTATTAATTCGTACGAGTGAGGTCGTGTGAATTGTTACGAATTAGCCACTTTTTAATCATTCGTCGAATTCGTACATCTTGGTCGTGAGATCGGGTTGGGCATGCACAAACATGTCCTTAAAACAACCCTTAACGTTCATTTTCAAAACTGTGCAACTCACCGAGTGGTTGGTGGTGTTCGTTGATGTTCCGAAACAAGTAGCGTTGCGAAATACCGTTTCTGTCGTGTTTTATTTGCCGTTTTTTAAAATCGCATTAATGTCTGCTGGAGGACTCAGTGCTCGTTGATATTATAGGTAGGAAAACGCAAAGGGGTCTGTTTACATTTGGTTGTAGTCTTTTCGCTCGGTTCTCCGTCTTGCCATATTCGACTGTGTCTGTGACTTTTTTTACGGTGCGCTAGACACCTTGTTCCGTACAGCGCCCTGGTTGTCGCCATCAAGTGGTCGGGAGTGTGCCAACACTTCAGACTCAAATATCGAGCGGAAGTTTATACGCGGTTGTGAGGTATCTAAAAAAATAGTTCCACTATAGCAAACAACACAGATTTAAAGCATACATTGCACCGGTATATTTGTTTTTAATCATCAACGAACACCACCAACCACTCAGTGAGTTGCACAGTTTTGAAAATGAATGTTAAGGGTTGTTTTAAGGACATGTTTGTGCATGCCCATAGACAGCCAGTCTAAAGCTCTCATGAGGCGATTCTAAAATAGTCAAAAAGTCGAGACAGGACCCATCGTCAAAATTTCTAAGTCCACCACTCTATTTGATTCAAAACAAACTACAAAATAGACTCAAGGTGTTAAATACCGGAATTATCCTTTAAGGTAGTCATTAATACAGCTTCTTGGTTTCTGATGAAGTAATCACTGATAGAGCAGCTAAATGACAGATGGTGAGTTTCTGGTCATGGACATCAATTGTGTAGCTTAGCAACAATAACCAAATAGGGTAGAACTTGAATAGGGTCATCTCCAGCCACAAAACATCAGTAACTCTGTCTAGTAGGCAATGCAGTTTGCTCCTCCATTAACAGAACAAACCCCTTTCCCACCCAGCTCCCAAAGCACACATGCAACCTTTGACCTGACTTCAGACACCTGCATGGCCTTGCAGTGAGTGAAGTGTTTCGCTGACTAGCTTTGGGCAAGACACAGTTTATGTTTGCACAATGTTGACCTCTCAGTCAGAGAGAGAGAGGGAGTTTCTGTAGGTGCTGTTGACCCGCTGGCACTGCAGTGAACTCGTGTATGAAAGATTCCCCAGACTGAATGAATGTCTAAGGCAAAGTAAAGAACTTGACTTTAAAGAAAAGCAAATACAAGACAAATGAAAAATAAGTCTTGAAAGAAAATGTTCTGAAAATTTCAGTGGTGCAAATATGTGTTCAATGAATGAATTCAAATACACTTTAAAACGACAGTATTCTATAAAAATAATATACTATCAAGATTCAAGCACTCATTTTTTCTTTTAAAATGTGACTCATACCAGATATTTAAGGAAGTGTGTACTTTGATCCAGTTGTATTTTTGTATTATCTATATACTGTAGTATTTATTAAGTTTGAGTAATAATCTTATTTGCTTTTGTCATTTTATTTTTTTGAAAGCATTTTTTTGTTTTGTTACCATGCTTTACAGAGTCTTTATATGATGCTTCTTCTTGAATGGTTGTTAGACTTGATAGTGAGATGAGCATCAATTGTTTACTTAGTACAGTTACAGTAACCTTTGCTTTTCCACATCAAAGCAATAGCAACGCAGAGCCTATTTCTCCCAAGTACATCAAATGGGTTTTCTAGCAGTTCCCAGCAGCCCTCTCAGCTCTGGCAAAGAGCAGAACTGCACTAAATTGAAGATTAAATTCCCAGAAAATAGTTTTCGTTAACGCAGGATACTTATATGCACTTATTAATGTCAAGTGAGATTATTCTATTGAGCTATATTTCACGCCTCCACGTACTGCAGTGATGAATACAATGAAACCCTCAATATTTTAACTTCAGCATGTTCATTTTACAAAAATGTCTTCCATTTTATGAACTTGCTGGAGTTAAGGGAGTGAGGATCGTTTCAAATTCTATTCATTGTTCACCAAGGCTACAATAATTGTAAAGTGCTCGCTTTGATTATACTGAGGTTTGCTTAGAGCAGTTCAGCGCTCCAAAAGATGTTTTTTTCCCCCCTCTCTCA